GCTCAGAGCTGATAGCAATATTAATGTGTTGTTAATCTAACAATTTGTGGATTCATCAGCGAAGAATTTAGCCTCTCCATAATACAATCTGAAATGTGAGCAACCTACAACAAGACCTTGCAACAAAAACAAGTGATAAACATAAACGGGATTAATGACTCCCTATTTTAAGCGTTCAGTAATCAGGCTTATTCGTGACTTATTCTTTTGTTAACTATAGTCAATTGCAGAATAAGTTGATGTCGTTATTTTATCTACTCTAATTTTCATATCTACATACTTGCTTATAACTTATAATTTATGCTCAGAGTAATCAAGTGGGGATGCTATGGCCATGATTATAGCAAGGATTTTATATTTTAATGTTGGAATTTTTGTATTTAGATTTGAATTACAAAAACCTGCAAATGGCTTACAGGTTTTGTTCAAAAATGTAACTGAGTTTATGTGTATAGTAAAAGATCAAATATGAATAAATGAATAAATAATTTTTTTGACATTATATCAAATTGTTTTAATTGAAGCTGTTACTTAGAAGTACAAAACTACATATGATTAAAATATTAATACAATCAGTTTTATTCTATGGATGCGAATTGTGTGTGCTTTGGGCTGCAGATTTCAAGCTTCTAGCAGCGTTTCAAAATATTAATTAGAGACATTTGGAACACACTTTGAAGGAGATTTATACAGACGACGATACAGATCTTGACACGAATAAGGACAGCAATACAGATCCTGAAACTAGAAACTATGAGGTCCAAATACTGGATTGTTTGATTATGAAGCTTTGAAAGAAAAAATGTATATTCATATATATATTCATATATACTTATTATTTTGTAAAAATTGAATAATAAAATCGAAATGAAGTCTAATTATGGGACGTTTATTATATTATATAACAATTCTCGAGTATAAAATAAAATTCAAGGTGTTTGTATTGTCTTAAAATCTCGAAGAAAAATAAATAAATTTCAAGCTAAAAGTAGCATAAAGTAAAATTTAAATATATTTACATAAATGACTACGTGGAAAAGTATTCGAAGGAGAACTGCGTAACACGCGACTCCAAGCACGCATGCATATCGACTGTCATACAGCAAATGGATGCAAGATAAGACCACAATGGTCACTTATGTGCTGTTGACAGCAGCAGATTTTAGCATGTGGCTATGATACTGCGAGGCATATTGCATGCAATTCTCATAAGCAATTTGCCGTAGCAGATTAATAAATCTGCATTATATTCAAATGTTTGACCAATAAATTATGGACTATGAATTGATAATTTGTGTGCAAAATATTGTGTATTTCATTACAAAACCTAACATTAGTTAAATTTATAGAGTATTCGGATCTTGTATAATTTGTGCGATTCTTGCGGTACTTTAAATGTGGGTGCACCTACGCTAGTGTAGGTGCAATTTCTGTGCGCCACATTAAACTCTGTGTTGAATAATGCTGTAAATTAGTCTAAATCTTAAAAAACTAAATTTTGTAATATATTATTGTATATAAAATTAACGTACTTAACCGGATCTAGACTATATATCTTGAGTGCTTAGTCATTCAACAGTTGGTGTTCTAAAAAAATTTGCAAAATTTATCTCTAATGCGATTTTGACTGAATTCAAGTCAGAACACAAATTTTAATGGAAATTTGTTGCGATGGAATAGTAAAAATATAAAAACTTGTTTTAATGTTTTAACGCTTTTATGCGTTAACGCCTTATGCGTTAAGGCAATTACATCAGAGAGGTGCAGGGAGATTCCATACATCAGCATATGCATACATTACCATAAGAAAAGAGTATGTAAAATATGTACTCGCAAGTGTTAAAATTGGCAAAGTATCTTTAAAATATTAATGAAAAATGAAAAATATGAAGTAGCACACTTACTTATAAGCGGATCAATTTGATAATATAATTTCGAAATTAGTTTAAAGTTTCTATATGTATTACAAATGAGTACATTCATATTATAAATGGATGTATGAAAGAATAATTATAACATTTTATTTATAAAAATTTCTTTTATACTTAGTAAAACCTTTATCGAACATTATCAGGTGAAGCACAAAGTCGTCGGCAATATGATAGTTTATACCGCAGTAAACTTTATTAGTAAGTAATTAACACGAACGACGTATTGCTTAATATAGATTTAGGATTACCGCAGATTCTAAAAACACTGACATTAAATATTAGTTAACAAGCCTATTGTTACCTAAAGAATTCGAGTTAAACATCTCATCAACTCTTTCAATCGGGTTTTTAAAAAAATTAGATCACAGGTTTCTTTGCATAAGCTGACCAACGAATTAAGATTTCTATTAAAACTAAATCCAAGTACTCACTGTTGATGAGTACTTGACAATACTCGAAACAGGGTTGTATAGTCAGCCAAATTTCAATAAATTAACTAAATTTGTTGTTTTTGTCTTTTCATTTCTATTCGAGCCTATCTAACTTTAAAAAAATTTCGTTTCATCATAGGACTGACATGATTGAAACTCACATTTTAAATATTAAGCATTCCCAGTATTCTTATTAAATGTAGATATATATTTGACTATAGAAGGAAGTGATTTGTAAAAGTAGGAGTCGTCCAACAGACTTGTGATGGCATGATGTTGGATAAACTCTTCAAATGCAATAACTTTGCTTTTATTGATCCAAATGTGAAAATGTTATAAAATGTCAACAGTACATGAATCAAGAAGCAATCTTATGTATGTAATGCAACTTCTCTATACCTATTTCATTTCAAATACATATTTTTATTTTAGGCTAAGTTAGGCTAAGTTGATGCTAAACCAAATGGGAGATTTTTTGGGATTTTTTGCACTGCACACATTTAGCCATTTATTAACACGTATCCACACATCACTACATTATCGGCGCAACTTAGAATTTCCCTCATTTAGAACGAAATTTAGCCTAACTCGCACACGACCTTAGTAGTCCAAAATATTCTAAATTCTTTTGTTATTTTGTTATTATTTTTTTGTTACGATATGATTAAAACTTCAGCGTTATATTTTGAAAAAATTAGATAGTAATTTAACTACCTTTGTATAAAAAAGGTTATAACATAGAAAAAAATTGTTCGACATTTAAATTTATTTAAACTTATTTATGACTATGAAAATTTAAGACAGAAAACAATATATTTTTATAATTAATGCACCTCAATTAGTGTTAATCGCATAATTAAAATTAAATGTTCACACTACGCCAACTCAATTAGTGAATAACAAAAAAAATATGACAATATATTTAAAATAAAGTTGATTTATTTCAATATGGTAAACATTGTTGGGTTTACTAAAATAAATAGACATTTGACTGCATTAACTTGTTTTTTTTGTTTTTAATTAATTAGTCGTTATAATTTCTGTTTATTGTTATTAATATTTGCACTTATGATTGTCAAATTCAAATAAATTCCTAGATAGTTTTCTTCTTTTGACTCAATTATTTTTAAAATTGTTGTATGTAAAATTTGGCTAATTGGTGTACAATTAGATACTGTGAACGCACTTTAATATTAAATCTATAGCGTAATTCTGCGCAGTTGAAAAATTTATGCTATTATATTTATGTATATAAGTACAATCCTTTAAAGATAGAGTACAATCTATTAAATATTGTACACTAATGATGCCAGAAAGTTATTAAAAGTACATTTTTCGATTTTTTTAAATAAAAATTTGCGGTTTTTGTTTGTGGATTACAATTTTTAAAACTTGGTTGTAAATATACAAATTAACTATTATCTAAACAGGAGTTTTACATTCTACTATATGAGATAAAATATTAGTTGAATGTTTATTTTATTTCAATTTGTAAAAAGATTAAGCAAGTATAAAGTGCGGAGGCCGAACAAATTAAGTTACATATCGTTAGTTAGTTTAAAACAAAACTAACTTAACAAAAGTAAGAAATGAAATAAAATTTCCAAGCAGGATTTGTCTGACATTATTGAAGCTTTTGACTGCATGTAGGGTGTGTAGGATTTGTTAAAATTTGGTTCGATTATTGATTTCGTACACTTTTCATTTCGAATTTATTGTTAGTTACCATAAAATTGATTTCGTGGTACGTGGGAGTAGCCTCAATTGCATTTTAGACATTTTGAAGCTAAGTTTTTCTCTCACAAACAAGAAAAATTGCTGACTTGTTACAATTTGCGCCTTTAAACATGCGAAATCGATTGTATCTCGTTTTTATTAGATCAGAATTCAATTCGAAGCTATCGTTTGTGCGTACTTTTAAGAAAATATTTGTTAGATGTTTTTTTTTATTACTTCTGAATGCTTCATATACCATAGAGAACGGAGTCAATGTCAGCAATATTTTATTTTATTTACTGTTTTTTTTTTATTACGAAAAGTGAATTTAATTAGTCTCGGCTATGCAAATTAAAGCATTGATAAAAGTGATTTAGTTTTAAAATTAAAAAAAAATTATGTTAAGAGATATATTAATCAAACTAAACTGAAACTGTAGCATAAAGTGTAGATGTTTTGCCTGCAGTCAGCGTGATACCTTGAGTTGAATATTGTGTAGGAAATGTGGAGAGGGGAATATCTATATGAAATTACCTAATTAGCGTTCGCATGTTAAACTTTAGTTGCAACTATTAAATTATTTTCCCACAAATGTAATCAAATAAATATTTAAATCTGTTGGACTCATAGATATCAAGGCTTTAGCAGTCACTACAGGTTTAGCCACCGCAAACGGCCTTCTTATTTGGTCGCCTTAGTCAAAAAATGCGTATAAATAATAAAGTAATAGTCACAAAATCTAATAAAAATATTTAAATAATTTATTTAAGTTTTTCATATTTAAAGAAGAACAAGAACACTTAAAACTAAAAAATAATTTAATAAAATCTACATTTTATACTGATATGGATTTCAATAGATCTATGTGATCACATAAAATTTAAGATATTTATTGAAGAAAAGCTGATTAATTTTTATAGTTCTAATGTCGGTATGAATCTGTGCCGTACCGATTTGCATACATTGGAGTCATATGTTTCTTATCACGTCTTACCATTGATTGAACTAACCTTGTGGAAGCTACATTTTGTTCATCTTCTAATTTTTGCAATTTCTTTCGGTCACGGCGAAAGTAATTTGAGTAGTCTGAAATCGTGTTCGTTTGAAAATTCTTGTTATTTGGTTGTTTATAGTTTTTCAAGCCAGGGGTTGTAAGAAGTGTTATCTTATTATTGTATATGTTATTTGTCGTTGGATCCGATATAACGCTGCGGTGTGAATATGATTTTGAGGGTATGAAGTTGGTATGCAAAATATTTTTTTTTGGTTTTTGTGGATAGTTCTCAGGTGCCAATTTGGGCTGAAAGTTATCATCAGAATTTTTGGTGAATTTTGTGTTATAGTGGGGCCGATATTCAGGTTGTTTGTCGATATTAAGTGCTTTCCAATCGCTCTCATCTACATCATATGGAACTGGCTTTGGTTTAAACGGTATTGGGGTATTTCTATTTAAAAATTTTTGGTAGTAATCCTCATGTACTGTTTTAACATGTTGTTTAATGCCTGGTTCAAGATCTAATGGTATTTGCTTAATACGTGCATGTGGGGCAAATTCAATAAGACTAGGAATTTCAGGATGAGAATGTGTCAAATCTTCTATAGGTTCTTTAGTTTCTTTTATATCTGAACTCAGTACGATATGTTCCTGATCTTTACTGTAATGATTTATTTTCGACTGTGAGGTGTCATCGTTTAATTCTTCTTTACCATGCGGTGTTTCAGTAATGGGATGAGAATTTGCTCCCACAGTTTTAACAATTGCATTAAAACCATGTTTTGCATCTGCCGTATACTGTACTGTGCGTATTGAACCATCAGGCTCTAAAATGCTATATTGACCTTTAATAGTGTCACCATCGCGAGATTCCCACTGTGATTTTACATCTCCAGTATGCAAATCCTTCACACCATAACTAAATGGTTTTCGCTGTTTCTTAAAAATATTAATATTAATATATATATATGTTCAGAAATATATCTGATCTAAATAGCATATAAACAATTTTCTCCCTCCATCAGTAGTTAAAACCACTCCTTCAATTGGTTAGAATATTGCATGCGTGCAAATTGCTTTTTATTTACAAAAATTAGAAAATGTATTATTAACATAATTGGACCAAGGTTGAGCAAATTAATTTTCATTATGCCAAATACTTATATAAAAGCGTTCCATTATACTGGCAATCTTTAAAAATATAAAATGATAATTTGTTTGAAAAATTGATAAAATGTGCAACTCACTTAATGTTGTATTTAATGGATTAGATGAAATCTTAAAAAGTTTTCTTACAAATATTTATAAAGTAAACAAATCTTATACTTAATAATTAGTGGACTTCAAAATATGATAAAAAGACTATTGAGTGTTTACTTATGATCAATTACCGAAGGCCAAAATAAAATAATAAATGATAAGAAATAGCACACACCACAAAAATGTAAAGTATTATATATAGTAATTTGTATGACATATAAAATTAAAGCTGACCAAAAATTTACAGTTGATAGTTTTTAGTTCTTTTTATAATTACTTACAAACGTAACGCCACATAATAATGTTAAAGACAATTAGTAGATAATTGTGTACTTTTGATTTAGTCATCCACAAAATTTCTGTATGAAAAATTAGACTAATTGTTGCACTATTAGCGACTTAATTGCGAATATGCGTTAATTAAGATAGTGTGAACTTATCACGTCGACTCTTTTTTTATGAATTGGTGCACTACTTGTAAATATATAATGTTAACTAACAAGCAGCTTTAATGCTACGTTTGTGTTTGCTGAGGAAACAAGCAACATGCATTTGCCGATTTATGGAATTAAGTTCAGCGAAGTATTTAAAATAATTAAGAAGGCTTTTAGCAACAATACTATGCCACAGCCATATGTTCAAATGGATAATACTAGCACTTTCAGTATGGCTGTTTAGATGTGAAAGATAATACATCCTATAGCTCACCCATCAGTGATAAAAAAGTGGAGAGAAATGGAAAGAATGTATTTGCAATTTAAGAAAGTTTTATTAGAGAGATTACTGGACAAACAGGAATATCACACAAAGCGACTGTTACGATCGTTGTAAAAATGATCTAGACAAGGGCTGTCCAGACCAGATGCGAACGCGGACCAAATCACTGTACAGATTGGAGGGTCGCAAAAACAAATACATACGTTAATAGCTGTTTCCGACCAAAATAAAAATGCGGTTATAACAATAAATATGTTTTATTAATATATCAATTTAAATTCATTTACTTGATATACCATAAAAATAAAATCACCAAAAGAAAATGCGCGTAATTGTAGTAGATTAAAAACATGTCTCGGGCCGCACAAACATTAACCGCGGGTCGCATATGGCTCGCGAGCCGTATTTTGGACAGTCCTCATATAGACGATGCTATATGTATGCATGCCAAGCATGCTGTGCTACCAAATCGCGCTGTGTATATTCAAGTATGCATATCAAATTTCGGTCTGTAGAGATGTGTGGAGTAAAATTACATCTTGTTTAAAAGTGCGTAGCGAAGTGTATACTTGGTGTGCATACTTGGTGCATCCATGTAGCATACATATAGCATCGTCTATATCAGGGCTGTCCAAAGCACGGCTCACGGGCCATATGCAGCCCGCTTTAGATATAAAGTTAGTGACAGTGAAAAATTATTAGTGAAAAATTTATTAGTGAAAATTTATTGTTTGTTCCACAGTTTCTATCAAAATTGTAATATGTCAACTACTATATTTTCCAGATCTGGTATATTGTACATTTTTTCTTCTTTCTCAAACTCACAAAAAATAAGGTTTTCCAATTAGATAAAGGCGAAAGGACTTTCATATAGAATTACACAAACTACAAACTATGGTGGGTTAAATACATAATGTTAATTTTAAACAAATTGAGGAAAACGTTATAGATAAAATAAACTTTGAACAATAAATACTTTTTGAAAAAATTAATTCTTTTTAGCACATCCTTTATACCCTTTATAATTTTTTAACTTAAATCTTACAAAAGCTCTCATATACAAAGAAATTTATATATTATATGTTATATATTATCTTGAGGCTAGTTGAGTCAGTGCACCTGAGCACTTTTACTTTCTATTAACTGCGAGGTTTCTTCAAAACCCCTCTTTGCGCCTTGACTAGATTATTCTTTATCACTTCATCAGACTAAGTAATAATTGACCTCAGATCTGCATACCTCCCCGAGGAGCCTGCAACCATTTTGCGATTTGATAATGCGGTGTTGGTAAGTCTGTGAGATTTCGTAAATAATTTTAAGGCTCTATCTTTTATGTATTTTCTGATGGGATCAATTTTGATGTCCCTGAAGATGTCATTCGTCCTAATGTACCATGGAACTTTGAAAAGTATTCTCAGAGCCTGGCTTTGTGCAATTTCTAGCTGGTGAATAGTAAGTTAAGTTCTTGTAAAATTGATTTAATGCGAGCCTTAGCTAACATCAAATCAAGTTGACGAGCCATTGGAATTAAAGAAGTCAAAAAGTCAGCCTACTACGCCAAAAAAGCAGAAATAAATTTAAAAAAAACCAGTAAAAAAAATGGGAAAATGCTATCTAACTGCACTAAAAACAGAGTAAAAGTGAGAAAAAATATTTTCGGTAAACCTTGGTGTAAACATTAAAACCATTTTTATGCTGTATTCATATCAAGTGAATAAAGATTTTTTTTCTCAAACTGAAAACAACTTGTCACTTGTGATTTTGTGTATTGCAATTTTGACCGTAAAATTGAATGACAATGAAAAAAATAATACATTTCAAAACAGCAAAAAAAATAAAAATAATACTTATGCAGTATAATTTGATAATACGTTTGATGGTTGAATTTGGTAATACTCGTATTTTAGCAAATATAAAAACAAATTAAAAGTTTACTTAATTGACTGAATTGTAATACTACTGTGACTTAATGTCAAATACTGAAAATATGGGTGTCTAGTCGTGTATCTGCCACACGCATTCTCCCATACATAAGCCGTATTAAGAAGGTGTGTTAAGTGACACATTTGGTGCCCCCTGCTTAGTTGGTTGCGCATGCGTGAATTTTAACCAAAATTGTGTTGCATATGTTGAACTTTGACTGAACTTAGGCTGTTGCAAGTGAAATATTAAAATGGCATAGCATTTGGGTTAAAAGATTTTTCTAATCGCATTTATAATTGATTAAAAAAAAATTGAATATTGAACTAATAAAGAACAAAATAGAATTATTACAGCAGTTAGAATTTTAAAAAAGTGAATATAATAGACGCATTATTATTGGGTGTGGTAAGTTACTCAAGTCATTGCGACACATAAACGTCAATAAAAATTCTATAAGAATTTAATTTTATGAACAACAAGTATATGAAATAAAGCACAAAAGATTAGAATTATTTATGGCAAAGTTGTTTAAAATCCTAGAATCGAATTTTAGTTAACAAAGTGGTGCCAAAAATGGTTATGTATAATGCTATAATTATATATTATTCATTATAATGTATTATTATACATTGATTTTTTAGAAAAATTATAAAATATTTATAATGTTATAAATTGAAAGTTGTTTATTTCGGGTTAATATAAGGAACTGTGTGGTGACGGTGTGACTTATCACACAATGATGTAATTACACCGCTCTGGATTATTTTTTATGGAGATATTTGAAGTCATGAGTTCTAGTTGTTATAGGTAAATATCACCACGTTGTTCTAAACATATATATTATGATAATGCACCGGTAAATGTCGGCACTATTTGCAGTTAAATATTTAAGCCACTGCGGTTCTTTAGGTCACAGCAGCTGGTTGAGAAAGTACTGCTTCACATCGATTGAAAGTATAAATTCTAGAATTGCGCCTGAAGGATTTTACTCGCCAATTTTAACTACACCTATCTTTAATATAACTGTGAATATAGTGACAAAGTTACAAAGTAGGAGAATTTTCAACACATGTGACATTGG